AGGGTAGGGCTAATAACGCCTCAAGTTGGCACAGATGGGGTGGCAGGGGTCGAGTAAAATATGTAAACCAGAGACAGGGCAGACGCATCTTACGGGGCAAGAGAGAGATGGAGTAAGACATAGGGAAGGAGGACTGCGTAACAATATGGCAGAGTCTGATGAACATTCCCAACACAAGGATGAAGGGTGGTGTGAAGGCCATCGTGGAGTGCGGAGTTTTCTCATAAAAAGCCGCTTGTATATAAAAAAAAAGGGCACACCGTACTACATTTAATTAAGCGAGTAAAATATTGTGACAGTGAAGACGTGATTGGAGGATATAGAAAATGTGATAGGCCAGGGCAGAACGGGAGATACCATAACTGTTTAACACACGTTTGGTCAAAGGATTGGCCTCACTTGTCTCTTTGACGAGTTGTAATATAGTGCTAAGAATGGTAAAATTCACTGACGATGCCGGTGAAACGTCTGGGAATGTACCACGTCCACGGTCCGATTTTGGAAATAATTATGCATACAATGGACTCAGGACACAAGGTACGTTTCTATAAGTCTTCCTACCATTATGACCAAGCTGTAGAAACAAGGTCAAATAACTTCTATTTTCTCATTTGTTTATGCATGCGTTTGCCAAAAGAAGTGAGAGCGGCGATCCCATGAGAAGTCCAAATATTTTTAATAGATGTTTCCATTAAATGCTGAATAGCTTATCCTTATTATTAAGTTGATTAGGTGTGTTAACGACTCCCTCTTGATCCTTTCTGCTGCCAAGATATCCTCCTCTTGGTCAAAGATTTCCATTAGGACCGTTACCGTCTTTTCTCCAGAGATATTTGTATACATGGATTCTACATCAAAACTTAGCAATAAGTCTGTTTCTTCCAGTGCCATTTTTTTTCTTAGAAGAAATTCATATTAATGTTTCACTGTGTTTGATAACTTATCATTTAATTTATTTAGCTTCAAACACATGAACTTTGCCTGTTTGTGTGTTGCTATATACTTGTTGTTGACTATCAGTTTTAGTGGTTCGCCTACTTTGTGCATCTGGTAATCTGTAGGCTGTCGGTGGTCTTGCATCTTTTTTTTTGAATTTATTGTTCATGCGCAAATTTATCCTCTCCGATGCATATCTTTTAGTGTGTCACGTAAGATTCCATTGATCTTCAGGGTTGAGTCCTTCTTTAGTATACGATATATAGTCCTGTCTCGCAGAATACATTCCATCTTATCGGTGTATTGGTTTTGTCCGGCATCACTTTCGCTCTGCCTTTAGCCGCCTCAAGAACCAATTCTTCATTCATTTCTAGGGCCTTGCGTATCCTGGAAAATCTGTTCTTGTGTATGTAGAAAAGCCGGGTTCCTGTGTGTTTGATCTTGATATGTCAAGTTCCTTGGAATTAGCTGCATTTCCATTTCCCGTTTTGTCTCCTCAGGGAACTTCTCGGAGCTATAGATAATCTTTATCAGAATGTCTTCTAGAAGGCTTCTGTCATTTTGAACAGAAAAGTTTAGTCTTTGCTTCCGGATCAAAAGGAAGTGATGATAGATTCACTACTTTTTTCCGATCTTCGTGCTGATCAACAGGTATTGTCTCATATGAAACCACTTCAACTGGGGGCATTGGCTTTAACCTACCCTGTCCTATAATCCCAAACTTATGCAAACTATTGTCATATCGTTTTGTTATTAACTCAGAGATCCTACGTGATTTCTTGTCTCTCATGTTCTGGAGTTTTTAAAACTTTTTCGGAGTCAGTATCCTAGCCAGATCACACAGTAACTTTGCCTTACTATCTATAAACTTAAATAGCTTATTCATAAATTTTACTTAAATGCTGAAAAAATGGCTTATCTGAATGGTGGGGTCTCTTAAGGTCACATAATTCAG